TGGCCAGAGTACATAGACAAGGTACCGTTGTCAGTCAGAGACTTCTATGATGTGAGAGGAGAGCTATCTGAGCTAGATGGCCTGATAGTGAGAGGGAGCCGTATTGTGATTCCTGTAAACATGAGAGTAATGGTCCTAGACAGAATTCACGACGGGCACCAGGGTCTAACTAAGTGTAGAGAAAGAGCTTTACAGTCGGTTTGGTGGCCCAAAATGAGACAGGACATTTCTATGAAAGTGCAGCAATGTCAGTACTGTACAGAGAACAGAAACACACAATGAAAAGAGCCCTTACTTCCAAGTATACTCCCATCCAGGCCATGGCAGAAGATAGCAGTAGATCTATGCGAGTTCCAAAAAGCAGAACTACTTAGTTGTATCTGACTATTTTTCTAGATTTTTAGAAATACTGCATTTACCCACTACTACAAGCAGCCAGGTTGTGTCTAGACTTAAGGCTACTTTGGCACGTTATGGCATCCCAGAGGTGTTAGTTAGTGACAACGGGCCACAGCTAGCCTCTGCAGAGATGAAGGACTTTAGTAGGGGAGTATGACTTTGCCCATGTCACGTCATCTCCACACTTCCCTCAGAGCAACGGACATGCGGAGCGAGCTGTCCAGATTGCAAAGAATATCTTGAGACAGAACGATCCCCTACTGGCCCTCATGACATACAGGGCCACTCCCAACTCTTCCACTGGAGCCAGCCCCGCTGAACTGTTGATGGGAAGGAAACTTAGAACCACCTTGCCTATTCTACAGGACAACCTGAAACCAGGCTGGCCTGATATGGACAAAATCCAACAGGCTGATGCCTCAGCTAAACAGAAGCAGGCACACTTCTACAACCGCAGACACGGAGTGCGTTGTCTGCCACCACTGAGCCCAGGGGACCCTGTGCTCACTAAACTGGATGGACAAAAACAGTGGACGAGGCCAGCTGTCATTCAAGGTACCAGCTCCACTCCCAGGTCTTATATAGTGGAGACTGCACAGGGTGAGCGCTACAGGAGGAATAGGCGCCACCTGCTAGCCGTACCTCACAGGGCCACACCTGAAAATGTGGATCCTGTTGCAAACTCACAGACTGTGGACTCTGAGATGACCAACAAGGAGCCCGCAGTTATTACACCAGAGACTGTTACATCCGGATCCGGGATGACTCGCTCTGGTAGAGTTAGCAGACCAGCAGCTAAACTTGACTTGTAAGTAATCAGACTGTAGAGCAGTTTTACGCCTATAGCTAATGTTTAAGTCCGCACAGCTTTTGTTATACCTTTGGTTCTATGGGGGTTTATAAGTAAGTGTCCTCTTTCTATTTGGGGAGAATGGTGGGTGAGCATAAAATTGGAAATGTTCTGTTGATACTTTCATAGTAGTACCGGCCTAATGCGTTGGAAATTCGAATTGAATATTCTGGTGTAGCATCATGATGTTTGGGGATTTGTGCTACAAGAACATACATTTAAAATGGTGTTAATACATGGGTAAATCATCTGTAAGAAGGGGAGATGTAATGTATGGAATACATGTACGGTCTCTTTAAGAGACACCTGCGCAAGGTATTGTGGGATGCGCTTTACCCCATGTAAACGAGTGTTACGCGGCTTTCTGTTCAGTAAAAATACACACGAAGTAAGCTCCTGGTCTCGTCTCTTTATATATGTCGTATAAGCTAATACAGACATTACAACAAGCTCTTGAAGTCGCGAGGCCTCCGCCATATTGGAGGACAAGCTGTGGTAGTGGCGTGCTCCCGGCACTGCATAAACATGGTCACATTTTGTGCCGTTTCTGGCTGCATTAATAGGGAAGACAGGGACAATCAGTTGTTTTACCGACTGCCAGCTGTCCTTACTTCACATGGTTCCAAAACAGAAGAAATCTCCAAGAAACGAGAGAGAATTGGCAACAACAACAAAACCAATAGCCTCCAAAACGTCCAAATATGCTCGGATAATTTCATTTCTGCTAAGTAAAATTCATTTCATCATCGACACTCGAACGCGCGTCACCATTGACTTTGCATTGAAAGTCTATGCAACGCATGATCCGGTGTGAAAGCAGCATAATTCCCCGCCCGTTGTCCCTCGTAATAATACATGGAGTTGTTCCAGCTGCCTGTTTTTTTGTGTGCGCAGGATGGCCCCTCAGCGCTCAAGGCTTTTCATATCTTTTTCAGGACTTTTTAAACATTGTTCTTATTAAATTATTGTAATCAATTATTTATTTTTTAACAGTTTGCTCTGTCCTTTTTTGGTCACACCACTGCTCTACCATAACTCCCAATTCAGCCCACTACTCAATCATTCCCTTTTTTGCCATGAATCAAACCCCCACCTGATTACATCCATCTCTATCCAAAACAATGATGCGGATAGCAATACCAAAACAAATGTTCTGTGGACTTTGGCATTTATCAAATTCCCAAAAAAAACATGTTGTTGGTTAAAAAAATCTAAAAGATTTTCCTTTGGAAGTGATTATTTTGTACATCCAAATTTGTCTTGAGTTATTAGTCTTGCTAATTATCTTCAATATTTTCATGGTAAGGGAACCTTTCCTAACCTAACCTTACCCTAACCCTAATCTGTGTCCTCTAACTTTTTCAAAGTATTTAATGATTTGTAACATAATAAAATTGGTTTGTTGATTTTTGTTTTTTTACTCACTCCACCTCCTACACAGCAAGCAAGTGAGGTTTTTGTGACTCAAACGTTACTGTTTTCGCACACAATGAACATTTGGACTCCCATGTCTGTTTAAATGTGACTTTGTTTTGAAACTTAACCCACAGTCTTTGCATTTGTGCAGCCCCGCCACTAGTTTTTTTGTTCAGGTTCATTTTAATTTAAAGCTTGTCTCAAACTCTGATCAACTGTTAAGTTTCTCATTTAAAATCCGCAAAGTGTGCACCTCTAAACTTCTGCTTGTCTTTAAAACTTTCCTCACAAACTGAACATTTGTGAAGCCTCTCGTCTGAGTTTTCCCAGTGATGATGTGAAAAGGAAACTCCTCTGGCTCCTTTTTAAGGTGGGGACTCCATGCTGGACAAAAACAAAGATCTTAGTTATTGATAAAATAAAAATAAGCATTATAATCTAAGGATTACTGTCAACATTTGTAAGTAGACTTAAAACTGTTAAAAACAACGCAAGGTGGAGAGCATGGAGGAGACCCTAACAGACGTGAAGGAGTCAATGAGGACTGCTTGAGCCCTGATTTTACAACCATTGCACGAGTTCAACAGTTCATGATCTTGTACTTCCTCACTTGATAACGACGTGAAAAATGTACATACAGTACTTGTACAACCCTACATATAATTCTGATGGCCATATTTTGGAGATTTTGGATAACACTATAATAACATTGACTCATCATTAGTGGTTGTGTAAAAGTATTATCAAATAAACATGTTTTCTATTATTAAATGATATCATTGAGCTTCTTTTAGGAGATCTCAAATGCACAATTCATGCAAAGCAGCCAGGGTATTTACAGGAACGAGAAGCTTTTTGCCAAAAAGAAGCTTTAAGGCATCTTTACCATCAGTGTATAAGAACCTTGTCCACAAGTACAGCAAAAGACTCCAAGCTGTCACAGATGTTAAAGCGCCTACATACACTTTTGACAACTGGGGGATGGAACTTCTGATCAGGGTCAAAAAGGGGGTCAAATGGTTATTGTCATTTCAAACAGAGATGTTTGACAATAAATAGCTTCACACCACTTTACCTTTCCTATTTACTCAAGAACTCTATAATTTACACACGTATGGGTTTGGCTTAGCACATCTTCAGATAAATATAGATAGATCAATAGCTGCTAAAGGACCAAGACAGTCAAAAATAAAGACAATTGTAGGGGTCAATAGCTGTGTGTGTGTTTGTGAACTTTTAAAACAGTATTAAACACAAATCTGAATCTGAAAACATACCGTTTGTTATTGCCAAAAATAAAGTAGCAGAAATGTTGTGCATATAAAGACAAATGTCTCTTCTTCAATCTTTCAAATTGTGATTCACACTCCATGAAGGCTTACGAGGGGACAGGGACACAGCCACATTTTGCTCAATATTGAAGTTTTATTATCAAACAGTTACATACTAAAAATAAATCCAAATGAAGAATAAACAATTAAGGTATTGGTGCAATCATATATTTTTTGTCTCAGCCATGGACGGGCAGGCTGTAGATGAGGCCAGGACTCCCATGCATCTATTTGAAGACAGAGAGGCCCAATAAATGGAAATCAACAATAAGGGTCAAGAATCAATGGGGCACCAATGAGGACGTTTGAGACCAATCACAGATACCCATATAATATTTAAAAACAACCACACTGACATGGTTTAAATATAAGAACAGAAAAGGAGTAAAGGAGAGCAAAGCATGTGTTGGTGCTTCATGAGAGGTGCAAAGCAGGAGCCCATTTGCACATTTTGAGAGTCACAATCTAATTTTTCCCATGATCAGCGGCAGACCAATCAGAGCACCTCTAAATGACCAAGTGGATCCTAGACTCTTAACCTTAACCCATAACCCAGACCCGATTAAACATCCTGGGCATAGCTTGGACATGGATCCTTGAATTAAATGACTTTGTGATATCACCCACCACATTCTGTAAGGTTTATCTCCTGTGTGAATTAATATGTGTATCTGCAACAGACCTACTTCCAAACCTCTCCTCACATAGTTCTCAGCTGAATCTCTCCAGATTGCCTGAGAACTATGTGAACGTTTTTTCACAAACTGAGCATTTGTAAGGCTCCTCATATGAGTGCACCAACATGTGCGTGTTGGTGCACTCATATGAGTGCGTGTTTAAGTGTAATGTAGTTATGACGTTTTTCCCACAATTTGAGCAGCTGCGAAGTTTCTCTCTTGGGTGAACCGACATATGCAGCTTTAATCGTCGCCTTGTCTGAAACCTTTCCTCACAAACTGAACATTTGTGAGGCATCTCATTGGTGTGAAGCAACATATGTTTTTTCAGATCATGTTTCCTCTTAAAGCTCTTGTGACAGTCTGAGCAGCTGTAAGGTCTCTGTTCTGAGTGAACAGTTACGTGTTCTTTCAAATTGAACTTTGTTTTAAAACCCTTAGGACAGTCTGAGCAGCTGACGGGTCTTTTGTCTGTGACAAATGCATTAGCAGGAACCATGGCGTAGCTTCTTTTTGCTGGGGGATGTTCTGGACAATAGTCTTGTGAGTGGTCTGTGTCTTCAAAGCTGTCAGAGTGCTCCTCACCATCATCAGTTGGTCTTTGAAGCACAGGGGACTTGTCTTCAGAATTTTCAGTTTTCACAGTGATGACGTGATAAGGAAACTCCTCTGACTCTTTGACGCACAGCTCTGGCTCCTCTTTGATGCAAAGCTCTGGCTCCTCATTGATACACAGCTCTGGCTCCTCATTGATACACAGCTCTGGCTCCTCTTTGACGCACAGCTCTGGCTCCTCTTTGACGCAAAGCTCTGGCTCCTCATTGATACACAGCTCTGGCTCCTCTTTGACGCACAGCTCTGGCTCCTCTTTGACGCACAGCTCTGGCTCCTCTTTGACGCAGAGCTCTGGCTCCTCTTTGACGCACAGCTCTGGCTCCTCTTTGACGCAGAGCTCTGGCTCCTCTTTGACGCACAGCTCTGGCTCCTCTTTGACGCACAGCTCTGGCTCCTCATTGATACACAGCTCTGGCTTCTCTTTGACGCACAGCTCTGGCTCCTCTTTGACGCACAGCTCTGGCTCCTCATCTATACACAGCTCTGGCTCCTCTTTGACGCACAGCTCCGGCTCCTCTATGACGCACAGCTCTGGCCCTTCTTTGAGATGAGCGGGCTTCACACTGGATAAAAAAAAAAACAATTTATGTATTTAGATCACTGTCTCAGATTTACAGTCCATGTCTATGGCGCTAACCTGGCAACAGGCGTCATAGGAAAAACTTAACTAATTCAACGGGTAAAGGAACAGGCACAAACTTTATATAGGATTTACGACTGAAGACACCCCAAGGCACAGAATGAACAGTGTCCAAGTGCTGACGTCACCATAGTGCTGACCCCACAATAGTGTTTATCAAGGAATCCCGTTTAGAATTTCCTTATATGGGCATTTTCCCATTATGCCCCGTTACAGCGTGAAGCTCACATAGTATATGAAGTCAATAGGAAGAAGGTGCTGCAGTCAAATGAGACAAACATTAAAATAATATAACACTGCACAGTGTGAAATATGGGGGTGGCAGTATCATGCTGTGTGGCTGCTTTACTTCAGCAGGGACAGCGAAGAGTGACAAAAATGTATGGGAAGATGATATCAAATTACAGACCATTAATAGAAAAAGAGATGAGTGATTTTGGTCTTAGCGATGGTTGGAGACTTCAACACCCAACCACCAGAGAATACACTTTCTACTCCAACATCCACCAAACTTACTCCCGCATTGACTTTTTCTTAATCAGTAACTCTATTATTCCTGATATCACAGACTCCAAAATCCACCCCATCATAATAAGTGACCACTCTCCAGTAACCTTAACATGGAACATTCCTGCCCCCCAGAAACACCCCACTAGATGGCGTTTCAACATCTCCCTGTTATCAGATCCAGAGTTTGACAGTTATTTTAAAAGAGAGTGGGCATCCTTCCTAAGGACAAACGACTCTCCATTGACCTCAGCCTCATTGCTCTGGGAAACATGGAAGGTTGTATTACGGGGAAAAATCATATCTTTTTCAGTCTATAAAAATAAAAAAGAAAAGGAGAAGGAAGCGTATTTAGAAGAACAGATAAAAAAGTTAGAAAGCAAAAATGCTAGCGATCCATCAGAAACCACAAATAAGGAATTAAGGAAATATAAATCACAGCTTAATGAAATAATAAACAAAAAAAATCAATTCCTCATAAATAGGCTTAGACATGAAACCTTTCACCACAGCAACACATCCGGAAAATACTTAGCAAATCAAATTAAAAGGAATAAAGAAAAATCTGCAATAACCTCTATTCAGGACTCAGCGGGGAAGCTAACCAGCTCACCACAAGAAATCAATCAAACATTCCAAGAATACTACAAAAAATTATACTCATCAAATTCTGAGCCAAAACAAGAAGATCTTGACACATTTTTCAATAATCTCCATTTACCAAAACTCAACCAAGAACAAATGCACTCCCTAGAGACACCAATCACTGAGAAAGAACTTTACTCCTCACTGAAACAAATGCCAAACAACAAAGCACCAGGACCGGACGGCTTCCCCGCTGAGTTTTACAAACACTTTTGGTCAACTCTATCCCCCCTATTCACCAGAGCAATAGCTGAAATAAAACAAAATGGTAAATTCCCAACCCACATGAATACAGCATTAATAACCCTAATTCCGAAACCTAACAAAGACCACACACTCACCTTAAACTACCGTCCAATTTCACTTATAAATGTAGACATAAAAATCATAAGCAAAACATTAGCCCATAGAATGGAGGACATCATATCTCACATAATCCACCCAGATCAAACTGGTTTTATTAAAGGAAGATTCGCAGCCAACAACACCCGCAGACTATTTAATTTAATACATCACACAACATTACATCAGAAGGACACGGTTATTGCTACACTAGATGCCGAAAAAGCTTTTGACAGAGTAAATTGGAACTTCTTATTCACCACGCTACAACAATTTGGCTTTGGAGAGTCGTTTGTCCAATGGGTCAAGATTTTATACACGTCACCGTCTGCCACCGTCACAACAAATGGTCTAACTTCACAAAGTTTCACACTACACAGGGGAACTAGGCAAGGATGTCCACTCTCTCCGTTATTATTCACCATTTTTATAGAACCACTGGCAGCCACTATACGACAAAATCAAAAGATTAAAGGTATAGAATTGTCTCAATCCCACAAAATTTCCCTTTACACCGATGACATCCTTTTATTTATACAAGACCCCCAAACCACCGTCCAGGAAATAATCAAAACTATCCAGTCATTTTCTAAGATCTCTGATTATGCAATTAACTGGAACAAATCATCTATACTCCCTCTATCCAAAACTAAATGGGATGTGGCAGCTCAACAATCCCCCATCCCCCTATGCACCAGTCACATCACTTACCTAGGAATAAAGATCTCCCCCAGGCTGTCAGAGCTGATGACATTAAACTTCACACCCTTATTAAAGACAATAGAACAAGACCTCATCCGCTGGATCAACCTACCACTCTCCATAATTGGAAGAATCGCAGTTATTAAGATGGCCATCCTACCCAAAATAAATTATCTTCTCTCAATGATTCCAACACATCCCACACTTAACTGGTTTAAATCACTAGACTCAATCATCTCTGCATTCTACTGGAAAAACAAAACTCCAAGGATTAAACTTACCACACTGCAAAAACAAAAAACCCATGGTGGTTTAGAGGCACCAAACTTCCTGAATTATTCACTTGCAAATCAAATACAATATATATATAAATGGACCCACCCCACGCAATCAGACACAATTTGGCTAGACACTGAACAATCATTCTGTAAGGACTTAAATATAGCCGACATCCCATTTCTCACCAAATCTATTAAACAGCACACATGCTTTAAAGCAATAACAATAGCCTCGACTCTGACAGCCTGGTGGAAATACCACCACATCACAAACTCAACACTTGCCCCCTCTAACCTCACTCCACTATGGAATAACCCAGACTTCACCAGCAATAAAAAAAAACTCTACTTCCGCACATGGGCCGAAAAAGGTATAACTCACATGAACCATATTTTCACTTCAAACACAATCAAAGAGTTTCCACGTCTGGCCCAGGAGTTTGGCATAGGGAGCAATCATTTTTTGAAATATCTTCAGCTTAAATCAGTCCTAACAAAAATAAACATTGGATCATCACACCTGCAAACTCCACCTGCCGTATCAGAATTGCTCAACATCTCATCTGCAAGAAAATTAATCTCTAAAATATACAAAATAATCTCAAATTCAGACAAAATAATATGCTTGCCAACAACAAAATGGGAAAATGACCTGTCAATTGCTCCCGATGCTAACTCCTGGTCCCAGATTTGTAAAAATATCTCCTACATGTCCAAAAATGCCAACATTCAATTAATACAATACAAGACACTGCACAGAACACACTACACCGGTAGTAGGCTTGCTAAAATGGGTTTCACATCAGACATTTGTCCACACTGCACTCAGAACTGTCCCGATACATACATTCATGCTACCTGGAACTGCACCCCCATCAAACACTTTTGGGAAGAGGTCACACGGTCACTGTCATCCCTGCTGGGCTGCCGCATCCCATTATCCCCCCCCCCCCCCCTCTGCCTGCTAGGGGATCTATCAATGATCACTGATAAAGCCATAAATTTTAAAACACTTTTGATAGCTCTAACCATCGCCAAGAAAACCATCTTTGTAAACTGGAAATCCCGCAATAACATAAATATAAACCACTGGAAAAACCTTTTCACAGACTTCATCTCATTGGAATGTTCATCATCACCCCCCTGCAATTATCCTTCAGAGTCCAACCCCTCACTCCCAACACTGCCGGACCTTTCCCTTCTTTAAATCACCAACTAACAGCAACAAAATTATTTCACTCGCTCACTCATTCACTCATTTACTTATAACATCTTTTTTCACTCTACCTCCTTCCACTAAAACACTAAATAGCTCGTATAATATTCCACTGCCGTAACTTCTATATATGATTATTACTGTTATCTGATAATGCTGCCACTACTTCATACTGTGACAGCTACTGCTACTGACTGCTACTGCTACTACTACTGCCACTACTACTACTACTACTACTACTACTACTACTGATACTACGACGCTGCTGCAGGAGGTTGGTTGCCGCTGTCTTTGCCTTCAGCACCACAAGACAATCATTGAATCCATACATACTCTCCCTGGTTCACCCCCACCCATGTTGTTTTTAATGCACCTCACCCCCCCACATAATAAAAAAAAATATATATATATATAAACAAACACTTGAATAGACTTGTAGGAATCAGGACAGTTGAGAAGTGCCCTTAGGAGGCGCCGCCATCCTAGGTTGGCACCCTCAAAATATGTCCTCTTTTAATGCACATTAGACACCTGTACATAAGGATAACACAAAGCAGGAACAAGAACCTATATGGAGGGGATGGGGGATCAGGGAGCAGAAGATCCATGCACTACACCCATCAGGAATCAGACATCGTCGGTGGGGAAGGCAGTGGCGGCCACCCTCCTGTTGCTAGTGTTATGGTTTTCATTATAATTATTAATATTATAGTTAATATTGATGGTGGTAGTGGTATTAGTATTATACATATTATTACTATTTATTCTTTAATTTTTTCTCTTTTTATATTTGTAAGCAATGCACATGCGCACACGCACACACATTCTCACACCACGCACATGCACACACATCTACACAAAACTTTGTTCACTGTCCCTGTCTGTATTCTATGTATTCTTGTATGTCTTGTACCGTGTATGCTTGTCACTTACCGTCTGTTTTTGAATTTTGTATTGTTTAAGTAGAATAAAAATATTAAAAAAAAAAAAAATAGAAAAAAAAGAAAAGAAAAAGAGCTGCTGGAGTGACTTGATATGATTTAAAGAGAATCAGCCACTAAATTTAAGATACATTTCTTAAAGGGATAGCATTAAAAGACTCATTGTGCATGTAGCATTGGCTCCAAAGTGAGTCAGTGAAAAGTGCCGCGATATAAAGAGTAGCACATTGTCTGGACACTCACCACAGCTCCGTCTGCTCCAGCTTCACTCCTGCTATGTTTCTTATCTTATCTTCTCTAATCTGTGACTTTAGACATGGCTGCTTGTACGGACGTTAGCTCTGTTAGCTCCTGTTAAGCCTAGTGTATAGTCGCGCGGTGCTTACGGTTTGAATCTGCACTTGTAGCTTATTGCGTCTGTTGCATTCCTCCTGCACTTGTAAATAGTTCATCCTGTTCGTCTCGGATATTTACCACTTATTGTTTTGCTGTTTGTGCTGAATACAATTTAATAATAACTATGTTTCCAACAAGAACTGTGTCTTTATTCACAGCATCACAGTTGAAATGACTTGAAATGAGTCCATAGAACTGTCACATAAACCTACCTCACATAAACACATGTAATAAGTAGGGTTTCATATTTTTCCCGAAAATGAGACGTATCAAATCCCGGGAAAAGACGACGCCTTTCCCGGGAAATCCCGGGAAATAGCTGTTGTTTGTAGTTGTTGTTTTTAGCCCAAGTAATGTATGACATCACCAGGGCTGGACTGGGACAAAAAAACGGGCATTTTTTCCTTTTTAGCGGCCCAGGCAACTCAAAAGGTTCAAGGAGCCCTATTTGACAAAAAAAAAAAAACAGCGTTGTATAAGGCTTATATGAAGGTAACAGGGGCTGAAGCTGTATTAGCTACATTAGCTACATTAGCTATATTAGACTAATATCTAAATGACAAAGTAAGGCTAAACACATAAAAACCATTCATGATTATCAAATGTGTATTTTCATTGCAGCGTGTCCTGGAGAGAATGATGCACCACGTGACAACTCTGCTTTAAGTTTAACCTTCTTGCAATTGTACAAATACAGTAAATAAATCTGTTTTTTGGCTCCGAGTTCACCTGCATCACTGTCTGCTCGTATCCATCACAGGCTGAAGTTTGCTGGAGCTGAATGTCCTTAATGGCCTTTTCTTTCACTGTCTTTGCGAAGGTTTTTGAAGTCTGAAAATAGGTGCTCTGACTTTATGATGAATGAATCTTTCAGTGAACGGTGTTTAAAGCTTCATTGTTCCTCGTGTTGCAACAAAACTTTTCATTACATCGCAAACATGAAGCAGTCCTTCCTCATTGACTGAAAGCAAATGTTCATTCTCATTCTTAGTCCAGTCTTATCGACTCTCTTTATCTTTGGGATCCATGCGCACACACAGTTAAAATTGAATATTACTCATACAAGTTTTTGCAGCATTGAAAAACGTTAAGAATGTTTTTCCTACTACAGAAACCACATTGAAACTAGAAATAAAATATAGCCCTCACACTCCATTTTCAGACATTTTTGAAAAGGCTCCAGGAGCCACTTTAGGGGCACTAAAGGTTGCCGACCCCTGGTTTATACAGTATGTGGAAGCAAATACTGTAGAGGATCAGGATCTCTCCAGTTTCAACAATAAAATACAGTACAATAGTCTACATTAAACAGAGTAATAAACATGTCTCAGAGTGAGGGAGGTGGGCACAGACAATATTGTTTGTTACAGGGATGAGAATTGGTATAAAATTTCTGAAATGCATATTTTCAGCCATTTGCTGGCTCTAAATCTGTTTAATCTGTTCACAACATTTTACTTTTGGGCTCAAACATGAACTTTTAATCCTATGGAAAATTTAGGTACCCGAGCTTTAATTTAGAGGAGAGGGGAGACGCGGACTGTTTTCTGCAGCGGTGTATTTATTGGGTGCACAAATTACGAAAAGACATGCATGGTCCTGTGCGCGTTTATGGTCTTGGGTACATGGCCACGTTGCGGCTACGCGCTCACCGTGTTGTGTTGTGAGCGGTTCCTGCGTCCAGCTCAGAGCCGCTGGATGCGGGAACACTGCGGCCGCTGAGGTGGTGGAATCCCGTTTGAGTACATACAGCAGGTGCCCCGCGGACACGCGTGCTCCCCTCAAACATTTCTCAACGGATTTACACTTTTCACAAACATGTTTTTTTGTATGTGGCAGACAGACCGGCCCAAATATGGGCATCGGCCCTTCGGGCATTGCCCGGTACGCCCGATGGCCAGTCCAGCCCTGGATATCACTCAAATATATAATCCAACAAAAGCTGCCGTCTCCACTAGTGTTTCACCAAGCGACTTGCTAGCTTTTCTAAAGTAGCCATAGCGTTTTCCGGCGTTTTGTTGATGGGCTTTCTTCAGGAATTTCACTATTATGAGATTCTAAATGTCTGCTCAATCCACTTGTCGACCAGTGACGTGCGGTGTGGTTTGGAGGCACTGACTTCAGCCCAATCAGATGAACATATATCATATAAATCAACAGAACCTACAGAGCGGCTTATTCACAATTAGTTTGGCTACAGCAGAATGTTTTCCATGGCCCGCATTGTTTGCTCAAACAAAACGTAAAAGGCACATTTCGAATTGTGTTATGGGTCTTACCTTAGTTATTAATGACCTGCACAGACCACTTCAGTTCAGAACAGTTTCATGTTTAAGTCCAGATAATAGTTTGAGCGCAGATATGTAATCCCCCATTTGGAAATAAGTCCAAAGAGTTTTAAAGTGTAAAACAAAACGGGTGCCACCTCCATAAACTCCTGTGTTTTCGCTGAAGCTGGCTCTCGGGCGCATCCAATTTCTAATATCAACCTTACCCTTCTCCTCTCTTCCTTATCATTCCTATCGTCATTGGAAGCAGAACATTACCCTACATGCATTTTATATGATCTTAAAATGTGTTATATGTATGTTAGCCAAACCTGTTGCTGCCCTTAGCAGATGGAAAAAAAGAAAGGAGCTTTCTGATAGAATTGGACGTAGCCAAATTCTGGGCTCACATGTGCCCCGTACCCTGAGGCTGGCCTCATTACAAGTCGTGGTTTAGCGTGATTAAGACCCATATTTGTTGTCAAAAACATAATTTATGAGCCATCCTCTCAGCTGTGGACATGTTGATTGTAAATGAAATATGTTTGAACTTTGAACAACAATAAACGTGCTCTATAATAGGAGCGCACTGTATTTTTTTTTTAACTTTCATTTCCCCATTCCCGTCATAATATTTCCCGGGAATCGGGAAATAGTTTTGATCAGATTTCCCGGGAATCCCGTGTCCCGGGATTAAACCCTAGTAATGAGCTCAAACAGCTTGCTTCACTAATGTTTTTATTCTAGAAAGTAGCAGCGTAAATGGTACCGCTTTGGTTTCTCAGGCAACTCCTGTGAGATCGCCATCACGTGGTTGGTTGTGGGATTACAACATTATTTTCAAAACTCTGCAAGGGGATCGTACGAGCAACTGTGGCTACGTAGGTCCAACGTAACCGCAACCGTAACCAGCGCTGCGCGAGTGTACACAGGCCTTTAGATTCAAAGCTAAATCTCAGGACAAAGCAGAGCCCTTCTCGGCTCTTGTTATTTCAAGTGACTTGAATGCATTACCTCCGCCACCACCGTACATAACTGCAGGGAAGTTGAACAAGCTAAAACTTGTTAAACCAGTTAAAGGAGCCGGGGTTTTTCCCTGGTGTGGAGTCAGTCAGTTGATATGACTGATTTATATGGTTTTAGATATTCTCTATTTTATTAACTGAAGCTAATCTGAGATTACAGACATTTGGGAAATAAACATTGTCAGCAGCATTAAAGTGCCAAATTTGAAGGCATTGTGTTCATGATTTATACATTTGAAGGATTTTAGGTAATTCTTCCCAAGTTGTCTTTTAAACAAAGTGAAGCAGACTTTGCCTTCCTTTTCCGTGTGTAAGTATTCAGTGAAGTGGCCAATTTTTTTTGTTATTTACTTTTAAGTTTTTACTTACTGATCTGTGTTGGTGATTTCAATGGTTTAGTCTTCTGAGATAACTTCTGTTGTGACCTAGAGCTATACAAGAATAAATTGTATTGTATTGTATTGTACTTCTTACTTATACTCCCTCACTTAATGAGATGTCAGCTAATTTTCTTAAATAAAAGTGAAATTTAGATTAACTAACGATTGCTCAAATTATTGAGAAACGTCAGCTATCAATAGACTATGGTAGGTGTGGGAGGCCTTTAAGGGAAAAACACAATTAGATGTAGGGAAAAAGGCATGAAAAATGAGAAAACGTGTTGATAATAAGAAAAAAAGTACATCAGCAACAATCTCACAACCAGAATGAAAAAAGCGGATAAATTAAGACAAATACTTTTAAGATATAGAATCATCAGAACTTACTTAATTTTGTCAAAAAGGATGTTATCCTGAGTACCATACTTGTCTGCATCAGAAGTACATCTATACTCATCGTCCTCACTAACATCCATTGAAACTTCTGATCTATGCCTCCTTTTCTTTTTGCAATGTTGGACTTTCGGTTGCCACTTTAGTATTAGGTTACCTGAAAAAATATCATTGTAAAGTCATTCATAACAGAACAGTCATATACAGGAATGTGTTAGACTGATTGATTATTTACCGTTATGAGCTGTTGATGGTTTCAGAAAATCTATTCCTGCAACATCAATTTGATCAGTTTTTCCAGGTTCATCATTGGCGTCGAGAAGTTCACTGATCCTTTGTTGTTTTTTCCGTCTTAAGGATGCTGATATTGGAGTCGAAGAACTTGACTGACCAGAGGTTGAAAAGTCTTCCCTACAGCTTGCGTCACAAGAACCTGAGGCTGGGCCAGAGTCGGTCATGACATAATTTGGAGGGGCTGCAGCATGCAGAGTAGGTACTGCATCTGGTTTTAGTAATAGCCTGGAAAATGAATTTCAAAAAAACATTTGTGTACTTGGGCAATTAAAAGACATCAGATTAATAAAAGAAAAGAAAAGTTCCTTCCTAAAACCCCCTATAACCAATGAAAAACACCAATCATCGATGCATATGTATATATACACATACACACATTTATAATATATAAAACATATATATTATATATATATATATATATATATACACACACATACATGCGCTACATAAAAAAACATTACACACACACAGTAATAATAACTCAACGATGGTCTGGCGTCTGTTCTGACAGACAGTACAGACCAAAAGTTTGGACACACCTTCTCATTCAAAGAGTTTTTTATTTTCATGATTTCAGAGAAAGAAGGAAATAAGAGCACTTAATTGCACACATCATATAGTCTATTATTTTAGATAATAGACAATAAAATTGAGATAAAGAATAAAAAAAGATAAACTCTGGGGCTATAATTGCACTTGGTTCAGAAGTATTTACAGATGTGTATATTGTACTTTAGCAGCGGAGAATATGAATATGAGCAGAATAAACGTCAAAAATAATATCAACAGGTAAAGTGACTGGTGATTGGCAGAAATATCAGATGGATATGTAATATTGCAGTAATAACAGGTAAAGTGACTAGTGACAAAGTTACTAGTGAATTATCAGTGACATTTCTTGTTAAACATTCTCGTTGTACAGCCAAGGAAGTGTGTCCAAACTATTGGTCTGTACTGTATTTCTGATGCACATTGCTACACATCATATAACGAGCTGTCCCTTCCTTTGTTCGATCTGGAGACTGGAATAAATAAGTGCAACCGCTGGTGCCTCTGTGGTCGTTTTTTCTACAATCTACACATACGCACAGTCGTGCTTTGTTGACAATGTTTATAGGCAACTTTTATAACGCAGACTATACATACAAACCTTTGGGCGTATCCGCTTTGATATTGAACCAAATTCGCAAAACAGTCGGCGGAGAAATGTTGAGAGCACAACGTCGGTCCACAGTTTGCGGTACTCTCAATAGAAGGCTGCCAATTGTCCCGCTTACTTTGGACGAATCTCGTCCAAAGCCTCGCTCTTTTCTTCTGCTTTGGCCACCCATAAAGCTTATTGTGCGAATGTGAGCAGTGCATTGCAATACATCTTCTTGTCATCTTCAATATTCACCAATTTAGCGAGAAAAATAGACGAACAAATTTTAAACAAGCGTGTCCAGTATATATTAATATATACAGTCTATGGTCCAGTCATCCATGGGTCCAGTGTGGAGATGTTTGTAGCGATCAACTTCCGGTTGAGCCAGGCCCAGCGGATCCAAGATGGCGGCCTGTTCAAATCAATGGTTTGTGCTCAGCGACGGGTGCCCCCCGTGCCCGGTGGGACAGCTAGTAATACCCTATACCAGCCATTCCCAAACTCAGTAACACCGAGGCCCCCTTAAAAATCTGACGGGTCTGCGTGGCCCCCCCAAAATAATAACCAAGAAGACAACATTAAGAATAGGCTCTTCTGGTTATTTTATTTTGGGGAAATAGCCTCTGCTACAAACATTGTAATACAAAAATGATTACAGTGGATTATTCAAGTCAAATAATGAACACAAATATTTTAATATTACAAACAAAACATTATAAATTTAACATTAAATAATTATATTATTTTTTTATTTTTTTTATGACCTCCCGCGGCCCCCCTGCAGTACCCTCGCGGCCCACCAGGGGGCCGCGGACCCCACTTTGGGAGACACTGCCCTATACAGTTGTTATAATAAATCCATTGTTGAGCCAATAGTGCAAATGTGTTTTTGTCGTTTCTAAGGTGTTTTCTCGATTTGGGGTGATCGGACAAAAAAAATCGATTGTGCAACCTTTAGTAGTTATTTTTCATTAGATACAGTCCCTGCATATAGAGCTGAATTAAATAAATGGACTGGAATACTAATAATAATTCTAATAATTTATGAATTCAAATCTGAAACTTCAAAATAACAGAAGTTAATACACCTTTTACATGGCCTATTATTTGGTAACAACTTGGATGTTTGTATGCCAATTTAACCTGTGGTATATATTAAACAGTCTATGAGACTATTCTTTGATTTTCAGAATTTATCCCATTACTCGACTTTGGGAGTGTCATTGTTGGCAGTAGAACCAGAAAAAACCAATAGGTGAGCATACTACGTAAACAGCGCAAATAAGATGTATATTTTTTACATTTATCTTTTTTGCTATTGCTATTTAATCGACTCATGTGATTAAGATTTTCTGCAAAATGCAATAGCTTGCAATATTTATGAATGTCTATGCTATGGATGTAGCGCAGAGCCTGCCGTAAAGTAGATGGAAAGCCGAGTGTTGTCAGACCGTAAATATTAGCCTTGACAGTTAGCTCTGAAGCTAACAACAGAGCTAACATCAGCTGGGTGAGGCACAGCCGAATCTAGGGTCACAGAACAGAGAAATATGGCAGAAGTGAAGCTGGAGCAGACGGAGCTGTGGTGAGTGACACTGTACGGCTCTTTATATCACGGCTCTTTAATTTAGGCAAAGTGCAGTGCGTGTATTTTCTTCCACGCTAGTAGATTTTTAGTTTAAACAAAATATTGATCCAAAACAGTAAATTGTTCTAAGGTACATGAAAATGGACTGTCGAGAACACCCAATTTTCATGTACCTTAGAACAATTTATTGTTTTGGATCAATATTTTGTTTAAACTAAAAATCTACTAGCGTGCAAGAAAATACACCTAAATGAATCCTAATGTTTGTTTCTGTCCAGTGTGGAGCCCCTCCACCTCAAAGAGGAGCCAGAGCTGTGCCTCAAGCAGGAGACAGAGCTGTGCCTCAAGCAGGAACCATGGCTGTGTGTCAAACCGGAGGAGTTTCCTTTTCACATTGTGACTGTAAAAACAGAAGATGATGATGATGATGAAGAGGCGTCCTATCGGCTTCCTTCTGAAGAAGGCGAGAAGCACATGGACGGCTCTGACGACAGTGAGCAAGAACGTGCCACGGGAAAAAGAAGCTACGGCATGATTCCTAATGACGTACTTGTCACAGACCTCAGACCCTTCAGCTGTTCAGACTGTGGAAAGAGCTTTAAAAAAAAGACACATTTAAAAGATCACTTGTTGGTGCACTCTGATGAGAAACCTTACAGTTGTTCAGAATGTGAGAAGAGCTATAAGAAGAAGAGTGATCTAAACAAACACATGATAATGCACACTGAAACGCTTCATTCATGTTCATTTTGTGAGAAAGGGTTTAAGAAAAGTAGAGATTTAGAGCTGCACATAATGGTGCACTCGGGTCAGACGCCTCTCCACTGCTCAGTCTGTGGGAGAGGGTGTAGGTGTATTAGTGAGTTGAACAAACACATGTTGGTGCACTCTGAGGAGACACCTTATAGCTGCTCAGAATGTGAGAAGAGCTTTAAAAAGAAGTCTAGTTTGAACAAACACTTGTTGGTTCACTCAGATGTGAAACCATACAGCTGTCCTGATTGTGGGAAAGCATTTAGGGACAAATCTAATCTGAACAGACATGTGTTGGTTCACTCAGATGAGAGGCCTCACAAATGTTCTGTTTGTGAAAAGAGCTTTAAGGATAGAATTGATTTAGCGGGGCACATCACAAGGCACTCAGCAGAGAGGCCTTTCAGCTGCTCAGACTGTGGGAAGAGGTTTAAATCAAAGTCAAATTTAAGGACACACATGTTTTTCCATAGTGAAGAGAAACCTCACAGCTGCTCAGAGTGTGAGAAGAGCTTTAAGAGGAAAGAAAATCTGAACAAACACATGTTCGTTCATTCTGAGGAGAAACCTTTCTGCTGCTCTGAGTGTGACAAAAGGTTAAAGACGAGTAAGGATTTAGAAGTGCACATGATGGTCCACTCGGGCGAGAGACCTTACTGCTGCTCAATTTGTGGGAAAGGGTTCAGGTACAAATCTAATCTGAACAGACACAAGTTGGTTCACTCAGATGAGAAAATTCACAGCTGCCACAATTCCGAATTGTTGAATCCTGGCCCTCCATCCTGAAACACATGCTTTTTAAAACTCGTTGGTAATACACATCTGTGGTCTTGACAAACACTGCACAATTTGAACAGAGGGACCAGCACTCCTCTCATTTAGAAGTAAAATCATGTACTGTATAGTATATATAGCTAAACTCACAACAATCAGCCTCTCAAAGCCGTGCCTTGTGGTGTATTACCACGTTTGATTGACGTCCGCCCAATACGATTGTGTGTTGAGCTTCACCCTTCTCTCTGTACTGACCCAGGGGACAAACAGAATTATAATGCTTCATCATGGTAAAACACGTTAAGAAGAAAGCACAGATCCTGCTTTTTACAATATAAATAATGCTTCCAACCACATATCCCAACAAAGGGTCCTATTTCAGCCAAACATTGTAATAGATGTATAGATAGATACTTTTTCCCAAAAGAGAAATTCAAGTGTCCAGTAGCAGCAGAAATACACGCATCCATATAAACAAGGCAAATAAATAGATCAATCTAAAAGCAGCTAACAATAGTATTAAAATGCAACAGCACTTTAGCTCAAAGCGGTAGAAGGACGGGTCACAGCAGCAGAGGTGTAACATCCGTTGGGTGGAGCAAGACCGGTCGCAGCAGCAGAGGTGGAGTAGCCACTTGGTTCGGACCATTTTCTCTGCTCTGGTCCAGAGTAAAATTTTGAATGCTTTGTTAGCCAAAGCCATTTTCTAGTTTGTGACTTCTTGTTACTCAGATGGCAATAAAGGAATTCTGATTCTGATTCTGATTAGTATTTTTCAAAAGATTTGCATCCCTCCAGTGGATCTCTGCTTGATCTGCTTGGTTCGGTCCGTGAATCCCCTCTGGTCTGGATCAGTGTTAAACTATGAACATAGTGCTACAGTAACATTTACAGATAGAAAAAAGCAAGGAGCTATTATTATTCTTACGAGTATCCAGTGTTGGTCTGTGCAGCACCAAATGCCACCATTAGTGTTAAGTACCAGCTATAAAAGAAAGAAAGGGCAGACTTTACTTGAGCAGCGTTTTTCAAGTTTTGAGATTTCATGAATTTAATTTCTACATTTTATGTAGGAATCTGACTTTTCTGGAATCTGAAAACATGTTTTTTTTTATTATTGAAAGATTTTCTTACAGAACACAAAGTGAGTATACACATAACATAGTATATGTGTAATATACAGGTGTAATGACAGAGGGACACACACACACACAAACACACAAACATATATATAATTATAATATATAAATAAATTACATTTGACTTAAAACATTCAAATATTCAACTGGTTTTTGGTTAGCACTTTTTGAGATTGTTGAAACATATTCAATTTGTTTAATTAATACTTGGAAAAAGAGGGACGATGATGAGAACTTAATTTTGTGGATGTAAAATTTGCCAAAGCGTAATATTAAGAATTGCCCTTCTTCTATCTGAATTCTCATAAAAACCAAAAATGACTTCAAATTTGAAAAGGAAAGTGTGGTCAAAAAAGTATAGTTGTTTTGATAGGATTTGCCCCACTATCTATGGTGAAATATATGTACAAGTTTGAATGAGAAATCTTTAATTTTGTTATTGCTATATTTTTGGTTCGAGGAACACCCTTGTTTCCGTACAACATCAGGGATAAAGTTTCTCCAGTAAGAAATAGCAGATGGAACAGAAACAGTATCTTATTGAAATATATCACATATTCTTTTGTTGTTTTTATGAATTGGTGCAAAACAAATTTCCCTACAGCGGTGTCAGTCACAGTCAGAGAGGTCTTGGATCCATCAGTTGTAGTATTTTTGAGCAGTTCACATATTTCCCTGGGCCTCAAATACAATGGCACACTCCTCAGAAGTCACAGCAAGATTGTATTTTGAGTTAAAGTCCATTGCAATCAAAAAGCTGACCCACTTGAAGGATTTTCTTTTGGAACCCGTTTGGACATAATGAGGATCTGTTCTTATACAGTATATGTTTGCTCTTACATTTGAAGAATTTGTAAGGTGAGAAATTAAGCTTGTATATGTGTGCCCATGCTAAAATAGTTTTTCTGTAGAATGCTAAGAGTTTTACTGGTAATTTAATAATATTGTACTTAAAAATAAGGCCACCCAGATTTTATTTTATTGAAAAATTTTCAAATAGAGGTAGGATTTTTTTAAGAAAGGATTTAATCCTGATAATTTAAAAATATATATTATTCAGGGTGGTAATGTCTAGAACATTTAGACCTCCATTCTCATACAAGTTAATTATTACAGATGTTCTTAAATAGTGAATCCGATATTTCCTTATAAAAGTGAACAACATTTGATCATTAGATTTTAGAGTCTGATTGTACACTGTTAAAGCAGATTATGTTAGTGGGGAAATTCTGTCCGCTTTAGAAAGTAAGACTCTGGCTTTTTAACTCTACTCTCTTTGAAGCCAAAGGTTAAAACTTTTTCGCGTTTTATCAATTACAGGCTTGAAGTTCAGTGAATCTAACCCTAACCATTGAAAGCGGCATGTAAGCGTCACTAACGGGGCGTGGCTTAGAGCGGAAGTCAAGTGCGACATCTGGATGTTAGCATCTAAGCTAAAGCTAAAAACAATTTTTTGGAACTTGCCTCGGAAGTTTGTAGAATGAGTGAAAAGAGGCGCAGTTTTCTGAGAGCTGCGGTGAACGAGCGACTGGCCATGGCCGCAGAGGATATATTTGTGCTGCTGGAGAGCACTATAGTGGAGTATGAGGAGGAGGTGTACCGCTCCAGAGAGGAGAACCAGAGGAACCGGGAGCTGCTGGACTCACTGCTGAGGCTCCAAGTGCTGGGTAAGTCTATCGAAAAAAAAAAGTCTATAGATCAATGGGTGAGTCCTTCCTCTCAGACCAGTGTTGGATAACGGAGCAGGACATTGAGTTACCTCTGTTGGGAACATAACTTTAAATACAACTCATCCGGTATAGTTAATAATAGTTTGTAACTTTATAACTCTTATTACCAATTTCACGCCATTTTGGACTCGTGCTGTGGGGGTAGTATATTGGCCTACATTTAAATAAGAGTCACCTTTGCTATAGATTCTAAACTGTGTATGAAGGCTGACTCCTGGGTCTTTGCGTTGCTCTTGGCTGCTTCCATTAGTTTAGGCTGAGGGGTAGTTGAAGCACCACCTGAGGAATGCTATCAACTGAATTGATGTCATACTCTAATAGCTTTACTAAAATATGTGTTTTATTATTGATGGTCAATCTAAAAATGCACACACACTACTTATTTTATTATGTGCAATATTTATTTTTTTATTTTTTATTCTCTCTTTCTGACTGTTGCACCGAGCCAAAGCAATTTCCAAGTCTGTGACCTCCTGTTACTTACGTGGCAATAAAAATGATTCTGATTCTGATTATGTTTGAGTGTGTTCACAGTAAAGTAAAGTAAAGTATCTGGACTTTAAAAGGTTATAACTTAAAAACTAAAATTACTTTCATAGATCATTGGAAGAAAGATTTCAAACACAGACACATTGAAGAGATAGTGTGGAAAAAAGGAAAGATTGACAGAAAAATGTTTAGCAACATTTTAAACGACCAAATTAACCTCTGATTGGACCATTCTACTGTGACGCCAGTTACATAGAAAATAAAATGTCCTCAGTCTGAAAAAGCAGAAGATGAAATCCCACAAGATTTACATGGTTGACACAACAGAAGGAAATCACTTGATATGAAAAGGAATCGTGAAAAAAAAAAGAAAAAATTAATTAATTAAATGACCCCTGAAAAATGTATAACGGACGTGATGAGGACGGTCCTCTTCTCTCTTTAATTCTTCTCTAAAAATTAAACTTGAGAAAAAAAAAAATCTGTTCTGTTTTCACATTTAATTCAGATTCAGTTTATTTGCCATTTGCAGTAAAAAAAAAACCTCATTGGAATACATTAGCGAAAAGTCTCCAGTGTGCACAGACAAATACAGACATAAAACAACATTAAAAGACAAAAATAAAACAAATAAAACAGTAAACAAAAGTCACTGTGAAATCGATCGACTAAAACAATTCAAAACAAGTGCAAATCATTAAAGTGCTCTGTTCACACTGATAACAGCTTGTGGATAAAAACTGTTAGCGTAAGGAGATGTCCTGCATCTCAGAGAGCGATATCTTCTGCCAGAGGGAAGAAGCTGGAACATGGCTTTCCCAGGGTGGCCAGAAGAGTCATTAACAATCCTAAGAGCTTTGTTTAAAAGTCTGGATTTATAAAGAACCTCCAGAACAGGAAGCTCACAGCCCACAGTCCTCTTTGCAGAGCGGAGCACCTTGTTTAAAGCTCTCTTTTCTTTATCTGTGATGTTTCCAAACCACACAGACACAGAACCAACAAGTAAACTCTCAATGGTGCAGCGATAAAAGTTAAGCAGAATCTTAGAGTTAGTGGTAAATTCTCTAAGTTTCCGCAGGAAGTAGAGACGCTGACGAGCTTTCTTAACGACTCGGTCAGTGTTTTTAACCCATTTCAGGTCGTTAGACAGAGTTAAACCCAGAAACTTGCACTCCTCTATGATCTGCACCTGGGAGTTGTCGATTACGACAGGCAAATGAGAACTATTGCGACTGAAGTCGTAGACCAGTTCACATGTTTTCGATGCGTTCAACTAGAGGTTGTTAGTTTTACTCCACTGAACCACATTTTGTATCTCTGCTCTATAAGAGGATTCATCATTGTCACTGATGAGACCGATGATGGTGGTGTCATCAGCATATTTGATGATCAAGTTTGAGTCAGAGGAGGACACACAATCGTGAGTGTACAAAGTAAAAAGCAAAGGACTCAAAATACATCCCTGAGGAGAACCAGTGCTCACAGAAACAACATCAGAAAAACAGTCATTGATTTTCACTCTCTGAGATCTGTCAGTTAAAAAGCTAAAAATCCATTTACACATGGCAACACTTAAACCGAGAGACACGAGCTTTTCAATCAGTTTACTGGAATGATGGTCGACTCTTTAAAGCAGTTCGGCACAGTACAGTTCCTTAGCGACAGGTTGAACATGTCTGTTAGCACAGGGGCAAGTTGCTCAGAGCACAGTTCCAGGACACGAGGAGGGATGCCGTCCGGGCCTGGGGCTTTCCGGACTGTGGTCCTGGACAAGACACGCCTGACTTCCTCCTGAGTCACGGTGAAGGTACCTTGATTGAAACACTCAGGGAATACAGTAGGACAGGCATCAGCGGATTCAAAGCGACAGTAGAACGTGTTCAGCTCGTTTGGCAGAGCTTGGCCGACAGATGCAATTTTCCCAGCGCTAGGTTTCCACGATGTGATGGCTTTAATACCGTTCCACATGCGCCGAGGGTCATCTTCCTCAAAATAACTCTTTAACCTGTCCCCGTAACTGCGCTTTGCAGATTTAATAGAACGTGTCAATGAGTAACAGGATAGCTTATAAGCAACTGTATCATTTGATTGAAACGCCAACGCACGCTCATGAAGTTTGTTTCACTTCCGCGTTCATCTAAGGATTTTGACTAAAATGTTCTTTAATGACCTTCTGTGGGACACAGCAGTCAATACAGAAGCGTATGTATCCAGACACAGCGTCACAGAATTCATTGACGTCCTCTGACTGAAACACAGACCAGTCCGTAGCATCAAAACAACCTTGTAGCTTCATGCTAGCCTCCTCAGACCAACACTGCACAGTGCGAGAGGTTGGTTTATGTTCCCTGCTCCTCTGAGTATACGAAGGATGAAGGAGAACAGAGGAGTGGTCAGACTTTCCAAATAGAGGTCTGAGACTGGACCTGTAAGCTCCCTTCACGTTACTGTAGCAGTGATCCAGAACATGTGCTCCTCTTGTAGCTTGAGTCACGTGTTGGTAAAAGTTCGGGAGTACAGTCTTTAAATTACATTTATTGAAATCCCCAGCAACAATGATGACTGCGTTAGGATGAGCAGACTCATGTTTGTGAAGGATCTGGCTCAGATCCTGTAGGGCTACTTTGTAATCCGCACGTGGGTGAATGTAAACAGCACATAAAAATATCACTGAAAACTCACGGGGAAGATAAAAAGGGCGGCTGCTCAAGACCAGGCATTCCAGATTGGCAGTACATGTTTGGTTCACGATACGAGTGTCCGTGCACCAGCGCTGATTAATTAAAAAGCACACACCTCCGCCTCTGGCCTTGCCCGTGGTCTCCTTCACTCTGTCCGCACGGTGAGCGGTGAATCCCGGGGGCTGAACAGCAGAGTCCGGGACGTTCGAGTGGAGCCACGTCTCGCTGAGGCAGAACACAGCGCAATTCCGGGCCTCGCGCTGGCTCTGGACCCGACACAGGAGCTCGTCCGTCTTGTTGGGCAGAGACTGGACGTTGGCCAGGTAGATGGAGGGCAAAGGGGTCCTGGAGGACCCGACTCGAGGTGCCCAGCTCCACACCGTGGAGAGAACGCCGGAGACGCCCAGGCCCCTCGCTCTGTTGGCGGCCACCGCCGCGGCCCGCCTGCCGTGCTCCACCAGCCTCTCGAGTGGGACACTCGAGGAAGTTTGTGCACCTCAGTTCAGGTAAAACGAGTGACCCGTCACCCGCGTGATCCCGAATGTGCAGAAGTGTTTGCCGATCATATTTCACTGTGGCAAGTGAATCCCAGACGAAAAACAACAAAACACAGATTGTGCGCACCAGAGCGTTCACTGCGGCGCCCTGACACGGCGCCATCTTGCTAGTCCAAGATGGTCGTACGTCTACAAAAGGCAGAAGGTACCTGAATTGGTTGACAATATGAAAGTATCACTTTGCATCTACTTTGTGTAAAAAAATAGAATCTCTGAATCAAATGTGGACAGCTGAAAATGCCTATCAAACTTCCACAAAGCTCATTCCGTCAAATCATCAGAATCAGAATCAGAATCATTTTTATTGCCACGTAAGTAACAGGAGGTCACAGACTAGGAAATTGCTTTGGCTCAGTGCAACAGTCAAAAAGAGATAATAAAAATAAGAATAAAAAACACTTCTAAAGAATAAATTTAAATTTAAAATAGAGTTACAGTTACTATTTACAATATACAAGTGCACATGGTGCACACAATGTAAGGTGACAGCAGTACAGTGAAGTAAAGTGACGTATGATGGGCAGTAAAGTGACTTTTTAAAGGGCGGGGGGACAGGTTAAGAAGTGTTCAAGAGTCCAACAGCAGAGGGGAAGAAACTGTTCTTGTGGCGGGAGGTTCTAGTCCTGATGGACCGCAGCCTCCTGCCTGAGGGGAGTGGTTGGAATAGTCCATGTGCAGGGTGAGAGGGGTCGGCTGTGATACGACCAGCCCGGCCTCGAGCTCGGGCGACGTATCACGTCCGTTACATAAAATAAACAGGGCCGCTATAGGAAACTTGTCTAATGTATAAAACAGTTATGTTCTAGCAACCTCTAAAGGACAGAGGAGGTGTTTGGAAACATGAAAAACATAAAATATCTTCTGATTATTAAAATCTAATTTTTGGCCTTTTGTCACACTTTTGTGCCCTTTAGTGTGAACAAGCCCATTTACATACAGCAGTTGGGGCGACAGTTGCTCAGTTCGTCGAGCATTGAGCCTGAAGGTCGTGATTTAGAGCCCACCACAAAACGTTCTCCACTGATGTCTGCTGTTGCTGTGTCCTTGGCAAGACACTTGCCAAGGTGGGGCGGCTGTGGCTGTAAAGTGCCAAACTACCGTTGTGTCCTTAGACAAGACACTTCCAATCCAATCCACTTTATTTATATAGCACATTTCATAAACACAGTTTCCAAAGTGCTGTACAATAGAATACTAAAAAATCCATAGTAAAACAGTAAAATCAATTATTAAAAACCGTGTATGCATATATGTATAAATTACAATAACGATAAGAAACAAAATTAAATAAAAGGAACATACAACTCACGTAGTGTTAAAAGCCAAAGCATAAAAATGGGTCTTAAGACGAGACTTACAACACTCCACAGAAGGAGCAGTTTGAATATGGAGGAAGCAGAGCGTTCCACAGCTTTGGTCCAGCCACAGAGAAGGCCCTGTCCCCCCGGGTTTTAAAAGGGCACTAACGTTATTAAAAACTTTTTTATTTTCTGATAAAACACATTAAATTAAAAGCATGTATTTCCCATCTTTGCAATGTGTTTTTTGTATAAGTAATAAATCAGTAAAATAACATCAACTAGAGGTGTACCGAATCGATCGGTAGCCGTTTATAATCGGCCGATCACGGCTTAATTTGCGTGATCGGTGGTCGGTAAAATGTGCCGATCACAAAGACCGATCAGATGACATGAGGGTTCGTGCGCACACGTTACGTTCTCTCGTCAAAACTGCGTAAACAAGCAACTCATGCAGCTATCAGTAACGGAAATTCTACAGCGGCAGCAACCACACAGTAATGACGTAAGAAAGAACACAAAATATGCACAAAAGTTATGGAATTTATTCCCCTCTGCCACCTGTTGCGGAAAGCACTGGGTTCAAACGGCTCATGTCCGCTGCTTCAATATGCCATCGCAAAGATATCTGACTGATGTCTGCCTGCTGCAACTTTACCAAACTGTATATTCTCACATTGACACTCCAGAGCATGGATCTATTATAATAACGAGCCAGAGTCACACCGCGCAGGCACAGCACACACACCGAACACACTCAGCAGCGAGGCGCTGCCGTCAGGCAGAAACACCCCGTGTCAGGAGTTTGCATGTTATGTTCACAGAAATATTGAATTAAGATGAGTGTAGTGGTATGTGAAATATGTGAAATGATTGAATTGTGTGCATGTTTATGTTTGTAAAGGCATTCTACCTCTGCTCCTCCTCAGAGCGTCAGCCTTCAGGCTGTCTCTACTCGACTACTGTGTATTTGTATTTATTCATTTGACTGGGACAGTACATGTCAATGAACATATGGTTGAACATTCAGTACAGACCAGAAGTTTGGACACACCTTCTCATTCAAAGAGTTTTTTATTTTCATGATTATGAAAATTGTAGATTCACACTGAAGGCATCAAAACTATGAATTAATTCATGTTGAATCATGTACGCACCTAAACAAAAAACTATGAAAAAACTGAAAATATGTCTTCCCAGAGAGGCTTAGCACTTGTTGGCCCTTTTGCCTTCACTCTGTGGTCCAGCTCACCCCAAAACCATCTGGATTGGGTTCAGGTACAGTGACTGTGGAGGCCAGATCAACTGGCCCAGCATCCAGAGACTCTATCTTCCAGAGGCCATCATTTCTTCATCCATCTCTATTACCTCCAGCTTCTGTGGATAACAAAAACTATAACACCAAGGACCAATATTTTCATGTGTTTATTAATGACAAGTCATGGATAGTTAGAACATGTCACATACCACAGAATCGGTGAAAAACATGTTTATAGCATTTATTTTAAGTACTTGTACTTCTAATTGAATACATTTAAGCCATTATCTCTGACTTTATCAGTAAAGCCTGGTTCACACGGCAGGATAATTAGGCCGATTTAAGACCCGATTTACCCCTAGGAACAATCTTAAATATGATGGATTTTCCTGCCATGTGTAGTGTGTTAAGACTATACTCGTCGCTCAGAAGGACTTTGGAACTGCTCGGATCTCAAATCGGGGATATCCAATATGTTGCATTGTTTTAGCCCGATTTCTCTTCGTTTGTGGTGTCCTCCGGGGCTGCGTGTGGCCAATCAGAAGACAAGGGGGCGAGGCGGCGAAGGAAACAACGGAATAAAACAGTCAATGGCATAAATATATATAGTCCATGCTCGCGTTTTCTCCATTTCTTTGACCAACGGCTTTTCCTTTGATAACACTAAACTAGGCTTAAGGGCCTTGCGGTGACCAACGCGTTGCGCAAGTGACGTCACGTCACCGCCTAGTTTATACTCGCGCGGCGCGGAGCTTACGGAGGTAACGTGACGTCACTTGCGCAACGCGTTGGTCACCGCAAGGCCCTTACGTTGCCTGCCCTGCAGCATCGAAATTTTCTAACTACGTAAGGGTCGCCGCAAGGAATCTCCGCTGTGATTGGTCCGTGTGTGTGTATTGGAAGGAAGCATGGAGCGGCTGCAGCAGGGACATGGACGAGGCACTATGGAGCAGAGAGCTTTGTGCTTCGAAGGAAAAGCAGTTTGGGCTCAGAGCCTGATATACAGGAGACTGTGGACTATCTAACATATATATAACTTATAAACTGTGCAGTCGTTTGTTTTGCACTGTTCCTGTCTTTGTTTGAATCGTAGATGCGTTTGCTGCTTTCCTCCTGCACTCGTAAATCGTTTATGTTTGTCTCAGATATTTACCACTATTATTGTATTGCTGTTTGTACTGAAAACTATTTAATAATAACTATGTTTCCAACAAGAACTGTGTCTTTATTCACAGAATCACAGTTGAAATGACTTATAAAATAATGAATCCATAAAACTATCACATAAACCTGCAGTAGAAACGCATGTAATGAGCTCAGACAGCTTTGTTTGCTATTTTTGTTCTGAAGAGGACAAAGTAGCAGCGTAAATGGGACCGCTCCTGTGTGATCGCCCTCATGTGGTTTGTTGTGGGATTACAACATTCTCCTCAAAACTCCGTAAGGGGAACGCGCCAGTATAACATCAATTGTGCTTACGTAGGTCCACCGCAACCGCTAACGTAAGCCACGCCGCGCAAGTATACTCTAGGCTTAAGCTCCGCGCCGCGCGAGTATAAACTAGGCTTTACTCCTGTTGTAGTGCCCAGTGAAATGAATGAGGTCCTATGGAGGGGGTGGGGTGACCTCATCAGCGCTCGTCAATCACCGAGAACACAATAGTTGCGATCGTCCGCTTGTTTGCTTTAAACGGTGTATCATTTGTAATATACATTACCATGGAAAAGTTTTAGGTTTTTTTTGACCCCCCTGAACATGCCAATTGGAAATCAACTCCTCAGCCGTTTCACCAATTTGGCTCAAAATCACTCCACACCCATGTTTTTTTTAACACTATGTGGAGGATCAATATTGTAACATTAATTTTAGAGGGAATGAATGAATAAGCTGTATATTTGATTTGTTTCAGGTGTCCAGACTGGCAGTAGATCAGACACGGAGCCCAGAGTGAAGCACGAAACCCCAGAGACTCCACAGGAACCATCAGAACAGAGCTCACCAAACATTATTATTAGTAAGGCAATTTCACTCTGTGATGGCAGCAAGAAAACTGTGCGTTTGGACAAATCCATCAAGTCTTCACTCTCAGGAACTGGACCTAGAGACAAAGGTAATGCCAGATCCCATCATTAGTAGTAGCTGACATGCAGCTGTGCAATTCTGGGCACTAAAAATATAGTGGGGGGACACTCCTCTCAGACTTTTTGGCACAGTGTGAAATACTGGCAGCTTCAGTTGTACCATTTATTGTCCTTTTTTTTTGACCCCAATGAAATTGCCTGGCCATGAGCGCTCTTCAAACACTAACTCCTGTGACATTGGCTGCATCAAACTTTTCACACTGAGCCAGTGTGGCAGTCTTTATTCACTTTTCAGGCAGACTTTAGGAAACTCAAATGAAATGCATAAAAATTCTTTACAATATCAGAAAAAGAGTATAGCTCCATGTGGTATATGCAGGACCGTACGCTGGACAGGCTGTGTGCTGATTGCTGTTTCTGTTTCCTGGCTTTTTTTTCCCCTGTTTTGACATTATTTTAGAACCATTTTAAACACAGAGACGGGCTTCTTTAGCTCGTGCCATGTCCTCGATGTTGTGCGAAAGGGAAAGATTGCTCTCTAACTAAAGCTTGAGGGAATCAATGAAAAAACTATCCATCCATCTTCTACCCTTTAATCCATTTCTGGGTCAGGGGGGTGGCAGTCAGAGATGCCACCCAAGTCTCATAGCACCAGCCCCTCACTGACCCTCTGCAGGTGGTGAGTCCACAGGAGGACGCCTGCTCTCTGAATGTGAGCATAGCCTTGATCTTTCAGTGGGGGCTTTGGGCAAAGTGGGGTTAAGTGTCTTGCCCAAGGACACAACGACAGCAGTCATCAGTGGGAGTCGGTGGAGAAGGCATAGAGGTGGGAATTGAACCCACTACCTTCAGGCCTGAAGGCCAATGCTCTACCAACTGAGCTACTATGAAACTATGAAAGCCAAAAAGAACTGTATTTATGTTTAAAGCAGAGAAAAGTCAAAAAGAGAAATATGGGACTTTTTTAAAGGTCCCAAATAAATATTTTGTACATATTGAACAAATATATATTCCTTTTGTGAGCAAGACCTCACACATTTATTTAATAGAAAATCCCCAAATTGTCTAAAATAATGGATAATTTGACATTCAATGGGAGCTGAATATGTCATTGATTGTTTCAGGTATCCAGACCATCTTCACAGAACTCGGAGTGAAGCAGGAAACCCGAGAGACTCCACGTGTCAAAAAGGAGCCGCAAGAACAGAGCATGGAGCAGGAGGAAAAGCAGCGCCCAGAGTTTGTGTCCTCACTGCTTCAACTCCAAGATTGTGCGGAAAGCCAGGGGCAGCTCTGTGGAGGAGCAGCAGACATCGTCTCCCAGACACATTTACACTCAGAGACAGAAGAACAAAGAGTCACTGACAGTCATCAAGACTGGGAAAATCCAGGCTGCAGATCTGCTGTAAAGATACAGAGCAAGGCAGATGGAGACCACTACAACCAAGTCCAGGGTCGACTGCCAGGGACTGTGCACGTAGGAGCAAAAAGGAAATACGTGTGCTCTGTTTGTGAGGAGAGATTTACATCAAACCAAATTTTAAAGCTCCTTCACACAGGAGAAAGACCCTACAACTGTTCAACCTGTATGAAAATAATCAACCAAAAAGTTAACTCGGAAAATCATGTGCGAGTTCATGCACCTTACAGTTACGCAGTTTGTGAGCAAACCTTTTCCAACAAGAGGAATCTCTCTGGACACACAGACGAGAAGACTTACAGCTGTCCTTTTTGTATGAAAACATTCAAACGACAAGTTCACTTGGACAAACATGTGAGAGTTCATACAGGAGAGAAACCATTCAGCTGTTCAATTTGTGAGAAAGCATTTGCACAAAGCTCTACTCTTAAAAATCATATGAAAACCCATAGGTTTGAATGGTAAAAAAAAAATCCAAGAAACTCTTACAAACCACAGGGTAGTTTCTAACATGACATAAACCTTCTCAAGTTCTCCAGAAAAGCTTGGTTCTCCACCATAAGACCTGCTCAGAAGAACCTTTTGTATTATCACAGTTGAAACATTCATGCAATATATGTTTAGGTTATTGAACTGTTGGTTTCATATTTGTGTGTTGTGACTCAAAGTTACTGAGCCACATTGTCGAGTTTTCGTCATAAGGGCTAACAATTTTTATTTTTCTATTCATTTCATGACTTTTTTTTCTAATAAATACTCTATAAAAAGTGTTGTCTTGTCCATGTTTTTGTCTTATTTTGTATATTTTTATTTGGACAGCTTTGACATCAACAAATGTGAAATCACTTCAGTTCCGAAAAAGCCTTCTTAAATGCTCATATGCATCAGTTTCCCTGGTTTCATGGTGTTGAAACATTCAACACGGTTGAGGAGTACATATGGTTTGGAATTATTTTGATCTAATTCAACGTATCAAGGGGTTGACTCATTAAAGGAATTTTTTTTTTTTTTTTAAAGCTGGTGCCAAACAAGAAGCCGACTGAAACTGACAATTGTTGAAAAACTTGAATTCCAACCTGTTATCTCTGCATAAAGTGCAGTCCCCTACAGTTTCTGTAAATTGTTTTAGATGTAAACAAACTTGTAATCAATTTAAGGATTCCTTAAAAATAAATTAACATATCTATGTTCTTCTGCAGTAGGATGCTCTTTTTTATGTGAGAAGATGATGAAACAATATGAATTTGAAACCACATTTGGAACGTCAATCATGTAGTTATTCAGAAGGTGCAATGATTTATTTTGTCCACTAGATGTCGATGTTTTAAGCTAGTCTGAGCTAGCTCAGAGGTTTTGACACATTTGAAACTGTTTAGGAACGAAAGCCTCAGTGTGTAACGGGGCTTCATATGCCCATCACTTAATCAATTTGAAATAAAACAAAAAACGATGGGCATATGAAACTGGTGGGGTTAGGTACCTCCAAGGTTAAAAACCACTGATCTAGACTATTGGTCCTCCAAATTATCAATCATTCTAGTGATATGTGAGACGTTTTAATAGGCGTCCCCTCTGACGAGGCCAAAATTCTGGAAAATCTTCCTATATACCTTTCAGGATCATTTATTACATTTTAGCCAGATGTCAACTTTTATCAGTTTATCATTAAATGTTTTTGTAAAAACAGGTTTGTGTCATCAGGACAAATTATTTTGTGTAAAATATCAGATGAATCAGAACCCTTTTTATAGCCATGTAAGTAACAGGAAGTCACAAACTATTGTGTGCACCTAGTGTCATTTCCTAGACTGTTAAGAGTGCGGAAGAGTGCAGTAAAATGACAGTCATAAGGGCAGAGAACAGTGATGGTTTATGAAGTGTTCTTGAGTCCAACAGCAGAGGGGAAAAAACTGTTCTTGTGGCTTGAGGTTCTGGTCCCGATGGACCGTAGTCTCCTGCCTGAGGGGAGTGGTTGGAATAGTCCATGTGCGGAATGAGAGGGGTTAGCAGAGATACGACTAGCCCGCCTGCGATCACCTTCTCTGCAGAGCTCACGATGCGCTGTAGTCTCTGTTTGTCCCTGACTGTGGCTCCAGCGAACCACACGGTGATGGAGGAGGTGAGGATGGACTCGATGATGGCCGTGTAGAACTGCATCAACATCTGTGCAGGCAGCTTGGCTTTCCTGAGCTGCCGCAGGAAGTACTTCCTCTGCTGGGCCTTTTTAATGAGGGAGCTGATGGTCGGCTCCCACTTGAGGTCCTGGGTGATGGTGGTGCCCAGGAAACAAAATGACTCCACCGAGGTGACGGGGGAGTCCATCTGGGAGGGCAGAGGCGGGGGGACTGTGCTCCTCCTGAAGTCCACAATCATCTCCACTATCTTCTGGGCGTTCATCTCCAGGTTGTTACCACTGCACCAGGACACCAGCCGGTCCACCCCCTCCTGTAGGCGAACTCATCGTTGTTGGAGATAAGTCCAATGAGGGTGGTGTCGTCCGCGAACTTGATCAACTTCACGGAGTCGTGGCTGGAGGTGCAGTGGTTTGTGTACAGGGAGAAGAGCAGGGGAGAAAGAACACAGCCCTGTGGGGTTCCTGTGTTTATAATCCGAGAGTCCGAGACATTCTTCCCCAGACGCACTCACTGCTTCCTGTCCGTCAGGAAGTCAGTGATCCACCTGCAGGTGGAATCGGGCACGTTGAGCTGGGAGAGCTTGTCCTGGAGCAGGGATGGCAGGATGGTGCTGAAGGCAGAGCTGAAGTCCACGAACAGGACCCTGGCGTAAGTCCCTGGGGAGTCAAGATGCTGCAAGATGGAGTGGAGGGCCAGGTTGATGGCGTCGTCTACAGATCTGTTGGCTCTGTAGGTGAACTGCAGGGGGTCCAGGAGGGGGGAGGTGAGGGACTTGAGATGAGAGAGGACCAGGCGCTCAAATGACTTCATGATTACAGATGTCAGTTTCAAAGGTCTGTAGTCATTCCAGTTATCCTGGTCTTCTTTGGGACAGGGACAATGGCGGATTTGAAGCAGGCCGGGATGTGGCAAGACTCCAGAGAGGTGTTAAAAATGTCAGTGAAAGCAGGAGTTAGCTCACTGGCGCAGTGTCTCAGAGTCTCAGAGTGACAGTCTGGTCCGGGGCCTTTATGGGAGTGCAGCCTAAAGAGGAGTCGTTTGATATTTTCTGAAGCTATTGGCAGGGTGGGGGCAGAGCTGATGGATGGGTCGTTAGAGCAGTGGGGGGTGGGGGAGGTGTCCGGAGCGGCGTCAAAGCCGTCCATCAAAGGACCACAGCATATATACATGTGGTAAACATATTATTCCATTGTATTTTCAATGGAAAACGGACCCGACACGCGTCCGTTGCACTTTCCGTTGACGGAATGCGCTCTACGCGCGTTGGACGGACGCATGTTGCAGACAGTGTAGCCACTTCCATTCACCCTCATGGAGATAACAGAGACGGAGATGAAACGGACACATTTGGACGGATACGTTGTCCGTTTTACGCGCCCGGTGGAGTCGGGGCCTCAGTTGCACAAGCAGGCTGCCGCGTTTCCCTCTTTTAGGGATCCTCACTTTTTTGGCTAAAACGTGAACCAAATCAGCTGCAGACACCAAGAAAACTGGTAGGTCCATGGGGATGCTATAGGAGCAGGCAGAGACGCTATTAAACAGTAAAAACATAAACAAAAAGCACCAAAGAGCTGTGGCAACCATACGTGGCGCCATCATGGTAGTTTAGAATTAGTAAAGTCCTTTACATAAGTAATGAAAAGATAAAGATAAAGGTGCACTTTATTGATCGCCGTAGGGTAATACATCCTCTGCATTTGAACCATCCTTTTGCCAACTAGGGTTTCAATCAGGAGCAGTGGTTGCCGTAGTACAGCGTTCGGGAACCCATCTCCCGATGTTAATGCTGGGTTTGGACAGGACCACCGGACCTGGAGCAGAGATGATCTAATATCAAACCCCTGCGGTACTCCACATTTGATAGTTTTGCATTGAGTTTTTCTGCCATTAATTTGCACATATATTGCTCTCATTTTTGGAGGTAATGTATTACAAAAGTAAAAGTAATTACTTTTCGCTGTACCGCAGTAATGTAAGGCATTACAAAAAAAAAACCCTGGGTAATATTTACTCAGTAAAAAGGTCAGTAATATGTGTTACATTGCATTTTAACCCGAGAGAGTTTTGTTCTTGCACTATGCCACCGCCAGATCAGCCGAGGAGAAAAAAGCCAATTGTAGCTGCCTGGACAGGGGTCACCAACCCCCGTTGCCTGCAAGCACACGGCCCGCAAGGACCACAAAAAGAACCCGCGAAGCATGATGTATAAATAATGTTGGTCCTAGAGCCTGTGGACCCAGTCTTCTGTCTCCACCCCTTCACTTGGACAATTTCCGCTTTTTGGTTTGTTGAGAAAAGGCCGAAGTAGCTTGGTCAGCATCATTTGATTCTAGGACATCAGTGTTCTCTGTAGTTGGGAAGACTTTCAGGTTTGAGGTATGATAGATATTCTTCAGCTTCTTCTGTGTGGTACCATTCATCAGTTGCACACGACCTTTGATAAGAGACTCAGTGACTTCATGAGGCCCAATCCAGTGAGGCTTGTTATGGAAAAATTCACATTTGAAAATATTGTACCAAATTCACTGATACGATTTGAACAAAAGCCTCCTGTGCTGGGATCACTTTCACATGACCTTAGCCGAGACTGGCAGTGCCATGTGCACTCCTTTTGCTCATTAAAATGTTAAATGTTATGACAGGTGTACAATTAATCTTTTGCCCTCCCTTCTTCAATCTCCTCTTCCTGCGTAAATCAAAAAGCCACCTTACCCCCCTCGAGATGCCTTGTCCTTTGTTCTTTCTTACAGGACTATATTATCAAAAGTGACATGTGGACACGGCCGAGAAAAAGGACTCAGGCTTCGCGTGTGCGTCGCTTCTTTCTGACTCTGCAGAGTATTATTGTAGTGTT